TCAAGAAAGTTGAAGCTCATAAGGATAAGGAAAATATCAAAGTTGATTTATTGGCAAAGAATGCAACTCTGAAACCTAAAATCTTTGATATCCGTAAACTACTCTTTAATCAATATATCCTCACAAAGAACGATATTATAATCTTTGACTATAAGAGGTTAACTACCTCACAACATTTAAGGATAATGCTTGACAAGATAGAGAGTCACCCCAATCACATACCTAACCTAGATTGGAACTCTATCAACGTCAGCTACCTTAAATCCCATTTGTCTCCTAAATCTAAATATTATATTTGGAGAAACTCTTCAAATGCCCACATCAATTTTGGTGAGGGTAAAAGTTTCTGTCATGATTGTAACACAGAATCTGACCTTAATCACTATATTCATGAATGCCCTGCTCTGGATAGTGCCAGATACTTTTGCTTGTCAAAAATATCTGATATTCTTGATCAGAGAGAGTGTAAACTCACTCATATTCAATTCAGACCAGAAAAGCATCACCATGTACTCTTCTTCCACCATTCTGGAACCACATTCTTCGAAGATGGATACGTACAACAATACCCAGACATTGCAGAGAAATGGCCTGAGATTCAGGGAGCCATTTCTAACTTTGTCGGCCGCTCCTATAGATATTATTATATTGACTCAATGTAAATTTACAAATTCAAAGAGAATCTGAATAGATTCGTTATTATTGCAATAAAAGATTTTTTTAATGGTTGTTGAGTGAATTGAGTGCGACAGAGATTATTGTTGAAAACTATTTATTTCATAGAGAGAGTTGATGAAAATGCGTCCTTTCTTGTTGTGAAGTTCCAAACTATTAGCAGAGGAAGCATAAATCATCTGGTGAGGTTGCACAATTATTATCTTACGACTTTGTGCGTTTCAACAAAGTTTCCGAGACTTTCCGACTAGGTTGAAGATAACAAACTTCCGATACTAAATTATTTCAACTTTATACAAACAATAGCAATTTTACTCAATCATCATGTTGAATATCATGCAAAGATCACACCCCAATCAAAACCTCTTTATTCCCTCATCAATTCCATCACCAAAACATTCAATCTTAATACATATTGCAACAAATATTAAATAAATTGAAAAAAATGAAAAACCACAAACACCCATTTATTTTTTGTTGGTAAAATTTGCAGAGCATGAAGGATTTGTTAGTAGATAGACATGTGTTCAGACCACAATCCCGAAATCTCTAACATACCGTAATGGGCAAGTTTCTGGCTTCTGGTGTGGTCTGATATAGTAAGCCGTCTTCAGATTAACGTGATGCTGTCAAGATTTGCATTGCAGGGTCCGTTCTGGTTTCGTTACATCCAACCTTTTGTTTTTTTGGATTTAAAATAATTAAAGATGGATTTTAATTATTATTTAATTATTTAAATAAAAATG